AGCCTGCTTAAACCACAGTCTCAGAAAACAGCCTCCCCAGGCCCCAAACTCCTTCCCTACTCTGCTACCCCTCAGGGACTAACTCTGGTTCTGCTGCTTTGATAATCTTTTCCTTGCTTTTCAACCATATTTTCAACTCATGAACTGTATTATCAAATCACTAAATGTTTTACTACATGTATAGTTGAAATTCTTATTATGAATTTAGCATACTCAAATCAATGTCTCTTTTGTGTCAGTTTTTATTCAATGCCATATTTGCAAGCTAGCTTTAGCCATAAATTTTGTATGTCACTGAGAGTCCAAAGAGAAATTTTAAGTTGGCACATTCATTCTCCATGTACCAACCCTAGGCAGGAAGTGTGACAGGAAGAGCTTTGGCCTCAGCTGTGAATAGAAGAGGAGGAAAGGGGGTGAATATTGGATGTTACCCTACATCCAAACACTAGGATCATCCCAGTAAAATCCAGCTTCAGGCACAGTGTGACTGAAGCCTCCAGACTGGAACCCTAGATTAAGCCTCCTGGCCTGGACCAGCTTCCTAGTATCCAGGTCTGCATCACAAACTTAGTCTCCAGGACTGCCGGCCTGTCAGGCCCATTCCAGCAGCCTCAGGAATGTAGACGGGTTCTGTATAGGAATGACGCCAGCAGCCCAGACTCTGTCCATGACAGGTTAAAGAGTAGTTCCAGTGCTAGATCAGCCCAGACTCAGGCTGCAGGTCCATTCTAGGGTCAGGCAACCGTAGCAGTCCCAAATTCCAGACTACCCTAAGCACTAGTTTGTCCCCTGCAGCCCCAGAGTATAGGCCCACGGCAGCATCAGCCTGGTAACCAGTACTGGGCAGACAGACATCTGCGCATCCAGGGACTAGACCTTCCATACTGGTCTGTCTCTGTCTTCTTAGATGCTATCTTGGAAATAACAGTCACTCAGTGTATCACAGTGAAGGAATATCTTGCTTTTTAACCCAGATAATACAGTGCATTGGTGTCTCTCCTCACCCCTGAATTGCTTGCATTCATATTACTGTTTTAGTTAGTCATACAAGACTTCATTTATATTGTTTTGTATGGCCGATGTTTATCTATTCTATAATACAATTTTGTTTAATGTTTTTCATTCTCATCTTCTCTGTTGTAACTATCGTCCTTTTTACCTGAAGCATGTATTTCATGGTTTTAAAATGAAATTCTGCAGGTGATAAAGTATACTCCTGCAAGTTTCCTGAGAGTGTATTTTTCTCTCATTCTTCAACTATATTTTGATGATCCAAAGTTATTTCCTTTCAGCTTAACTGAGGATATGAGATGGTGGTACTCTAGCTTTCATTATTGCTGTGAGGAAACCAGCTGGGCACTTTAGAAATTAAGCCATTTCTTTGACAATTTTATGTATGGATATACTGCATTTTAGGTACTTGCTCTCTCCAGCATTTTTACCTTTCTTCTCTCCCCATAAACAATCCCTCCTTGCTTGTCCCTTTCCCAGGTTTATGACTCTTGAAAGGTTTTTTTTGTGACCCATTTGGTTACACTCAGGGTCATCTTGCTTGCATTGATTTGGGACTTTCCACGGAAGTCGGTGGTACACACCTGAATAATAGGACTATCCCTTTCTCTGAATCTATTAGTAAGAAATACTGTTTTGCCATGATCAGGTGATATCCATGGGATGCCTGCTCTGTTTTGTTTTTGTGTGTTTTGTGGTTTTGTTTTTGGGAAGTATAGGAGGAGTGGATCTGGGGGAGAAGAGGGGTGCAGGGGTCTGGGAGGAGTGGAGGGAGAGGAAATTGTGGTCAGGATGTACTGTATGAAAGAAGTATAAAAAGGAAGAAATATTTCTGCATTGAGGGATAGAGCCCTCTGAGCTCCTCCTTCATCCTTTCCTGACTGTCGATGGACCATTCGTGTATATATCCAGTGCCCTTATCTACTTTCAATGTTTCATGTTTATCTCATAATGAAAATACATTCAATTCATCTCTAATAGTCCCTAAAGTCTTAATGGTTCTAACATTGTTTAAAACAGAGCCTAGAGTCTAAAGGCTCTTCTGAGACTCAGGGCAGTCTATTGAATGTGAGCTACTGTTACAAATATAAACAAATATTAAAAAACAAGTTTCATATTTCCAGTACACAAGAATAAACACTCCTATCTCAGAAGGAGGAAATAGAGGTATATCAAGGAAATACCAAAATGCAGCAAGAAAAATATAAAACCATGAAGTTCCATGCTGGCACGTAGGACCCAGGATGGAGTCACACAGGCTCCAACAGTCTTTGGTATCTTCATTCCTTAACCTCTGTGACTTATAGCAAACACATGTGGTCTCTCTTCAGTTGGCTCCGACAGCCTCTCTTGGTAGATGCCCTGCCATCCTGGCCTTCCCAGCATTCTAGGTTCTCTGTTACAATGTAGGCTTCACCCTCACAGCTTCCTACAGTGACTTTTCAGGGCCTCTTTAAGTGACATTTGACCCTGCCACAAACTCTTCTCCCAGTACTTGGAGTTTATCTAGTCTACAGTTCTACACTTTTCCAAATTCCCACATGAGCCAATTTCAAAGGCATGCAACCACATGGTCAAGTAGGCACAGAAATAGCCCCACATCTTGGGACCAAGAGAGAAGGGCCTCACCCTGTAGGGGTCAGTGCTATGTACATTCAGGGCAAGTCTTGCTTCCTTCAAAGCCTGGTGAGATACCTTCATAGGCATTTCCAGAAACCTTTCTCTTAGGTGCTTCTGAATCTCATGAAGCTGACACCCAATATCAAGCATCACACCCCAGCATGTAGAGATTAACTCGTGGCTTCCATTTCTTAGGAATGTGCTCATTTTCCCTTTGTACCTACAAAGACAGCCTCCTCCTCAGTGGACTCGTAACACCACTCTCCTGGGTTCCTATTCCTTTCTCCAAGATTACTATAGGAAAACCTACATTTTGCGTCTCTGATAGAAATGTTTGGCATGGGGTTATCATCTCACGCTGCACACAAAGGCTTCTGAAGCAAGGCAGCAGCTTCTAAGGGCAAGTAGGAACCCTATGGTCCCTGTAGGCAAAGCTTCCTATACCTGGTTCTCTGGACCTTAGCCATGCTTTGATTTTATTTTACTTTTTACATCCTGATAGGTTTTAAATTGCTATAAGGAGATATTTTTAATATTGCACCCAGGACTTCTATTTGTTTTTATCTGGTGGTATTGTTCTAATAAACCATTATTGGAAATGGAAGTGACTTGCTTCTTTTTTTAAAATCAAGATATAACTCCAATATTTTGTATTATTAAAAAAGTATTCTTTTTCTGTTTTTTTTGTGCCCAAGGTGCAGAGAAGTAAATACAAACTTAAAAAGAAAAAGATAAAACATGTTTCCTGAAACAGGAGAATTGTCCTTGAAAAAACTCAGAATGTAGGTCTATTAGGATCTTCTAGTCCTCCTTAAGGTTCAGGGAGTGAATCAGGTCCTAAGAAGGAATGTAGTCATCCAATGAAATGGCTATCTGTCTGGGGGCACCATAGTGTTTCATGGGGGGGGTACAAGAGTCCACGTTTCTAGTCACTGTAACTGGTTCACTAGGAGCTCTCAGCCTGCTTGGGGTGGGCTGGATAGCCTTATGGAATTGTAGGCATAGGCTTTTCAGGGGGAGAAAATACTAAAACTTCAGTTTTCATAGGTACCCTACAATGTTTTTATTCTTCTCTAATTTTTACATAGTTATACCACACCCAATTACACAACTTTTTACTGTCATATCCCAATTTCTGATAGCCTGGTTCCTTTGGGTTAAGCGACCCTTCAGAATTTTTTTTTAAGTCTTGCCTTTGATTTTCCATTGACTCTGAGTTCTCCTCCAATCTTGGTCTTTGTTACTTTCCTCTACTTTACCTTTGACCTTTGCTGTGACTCTGGCCTGGACTTTCAGCTGGGGAACAGACAGACAGACAGGTTATTGTAGCAGTCTCATGCTAGGGAACATTGCCTGTTGACTTGAGTCCCACCGACTCAAACCTGCATTTTGAAGTTCTAAACCTCAGTAACTCAGAATGTGGCTTTCTTGGGAAACTGGGTTACTGCAGGTGCCACATTATAGAGAAATGGATCACTAATCAATAGTTCCAGTATCTTTATTAAAAGGGGAATTTAAATAAAGAAACACAAGTACAAGTGTGTACAAGTGTGTACAGTGTGTGCACACGTGTGTGTGTATGTGTGTGTGTGCGCATGCACATGTGTGTGTGATAGCCCTCCATCATCAGTCACTCTGCCTCATTTCTTTATCCTCCAGTGCTTTATGCTTTCATGGGCTCCATTGTGTGGTTTCCAACACACTTTGCTCGTGAATCTGCAGTCCAACTTGCTCCAATGACAGAACCTGTAACACCCTCAAGAGTTTCATGTATATCTTGGGACAAAGCCTACACATAAAGTCATGTTTTCATTCTGGCATATCAAACATTACATGAATGGCAAGGGCCAAAGTCAGACTAACTTGTGCCATGCATCCTGTGTATCTCAGGCGCCTCCTGCAAAACCCAGGTTCAAAGTCAAAGAATGATTTTTTTCCCTATGTATTTTCCATTGCCAAAACACTTCCTACACCAACTAGCTCAGCAAGGAACCTTTGAGCTGGTTACCTGGGAGAAGTGTCACATTCCCTCACTGACTGGGAATGATGCCAACAGGATAAATGAGACATTTTTTTCTTTCTGCAAGAAGGAAACCAGAGATAGAAGCCACTAGTTCAAGTTAAGAAAAGGTTGAAAATCAGTGTCATTTGTCACCATTTGACACTGTACGAGGGTGTCAGTGCTGTGATGAACCCACCAATCCTCGTGGGCTATTTCCTGGTTGTCTCATTTTAGACAGGATTTATGCTTCTGTGTCTTGCTGTCGATTACTTCTGGGACAGATGAAAGGGAACCATTTATAATTGTTTAACATGTGTGCACAGGTCAACACATCCCACCTTCGAATTATCTGCCTTCTTAGGAATCACAGTTCTCTGAGGATTTATGGGAGGTGCTGAGCTTCAATCACAACATTAAATTTAGTGACCTTCAAGGAGAACAGCAGCAGATTACGGCTGCCTCAGCTTGTACATGCCAGGACTCAGCCATTCATCCTGCCACCAGACAAATGCACGTTGCATGGACTTCTGCTTGGAACAGGGGACACTGGAAGCAAAAATCCCCAATGGTGAGAATGAGTTTAGACATATCTGGGACCTGCAGGTTGAGTCACTTGAAGGAGGGATGCTAACGTTAAACTCTCAGATTTATCCTAACTTTGCACAGCAGGAAGCAGATGAGGTCCTGAATATTTTTGAAAGTTATAGAACTCACACTTGCAAGTAAACAAAACTGGAGGTTGATTTCTTTAAAACCATTTACCTAGTTAATCTGAAATCTCCCCCAGGACAGGGCTTGACTCAGTATTGTACACTGAGACTCTCATTTGTCAGCATGGGCTTTTTGTTTGTTTTGATGCTTAGCAAAAAAAACTCCAGTGCTGTCAGTGAGGCGGTCCCTCTACAGCAGCCAGTCAAGCTGTCTCTGATCTCTGTCTGCACCACACTCTTCCAGGATACTTCATCCCCAGGGTAGCCTCTGTCTGGGGCTGTCTGCCAACAGTGACTTTTAAAAGGCCAACAGTAAAAAAGACTGGCTGAATTGTGTCTATGGAGAAGCATCTGGCACCCTTAGTGTGACCAGAAAAGCATCAGGCCTTAGGGGTCTTGGCTTCCAAGTGTCATGGCCCAGAATATGTATTAGTAACTTGTCTCAGAGCTGTATGTCACCCAATATCAGGCAATCTACTGGGTCAGCCATGGGACCTCCTGATGACTATTGGGCACTGGCTTTGTTCTGTGGTCTGTATTCTCTTATGGGGCTTTCCTGTGATACTGGGTTTTGTGGAATATTCCAAATGTGACAAGCAAGGATGCCAGATTTCCTCTCTCATATTCCAACTGAGTCTTGGATACTTTAGAGTTTGGGAAGTAAGAACTAAATCCTACCTGTGATATACATGGATCTTGTAGATCAATGCACCTCCAATTTGTTGTCAGCATCTAAAAAGAGACCAGAGCTAAAGTGCCTTAGAGTTGTAGGTGGTATTATCTCTTTGTCAATGTTAAACCTTTAAATTTGTAATGTACACCAAAGGCCATGCTGGCTGCTCCTGATGTTAAGTTTGTTGTCTAGCTGTCCTACATCATCAGACAACTGAGATAACTGAGCCAATAAAGGCTTCCAGCCTGGTTTCTGACATTACTGCAAGCAGGTTGTCAATAAAGTGGATGTTGGGTATATTGTCCTTCTCTCTGTTCCGTGGAACATGGCTTGTAGAACTGGTTTCAGTGGGAAGAGTTTAAACTTGTCCATCCCTGTGTGTGGAGGTGTGCTGGTCCCTGAGAGAACTGTCTTTCAGCCTCTGGCTCCCTGTCAACAACACAACTCCCGAGGCATGGATGTAGCTGTTGCTTACAGAAGCCTAAATCTAAACTCCACCAGGGGGAGAGAGCACCTCACCCCAGCTCCATGGACACCACCAGTTAAGGCTTTAATGGGAGATAGTGTTTTGTTTTGTTTTATCCCCAACTCTTTTTCTCATCCTCTGTCTTTAAAACCAGGACTCTTTAATTATGGGTTGTGAAATAGCATATAAAAGTAATCCCTGTGCAACCCCTATGACGTGTTTACCGTGTGGACATGGGTGACAGCATCTGTAAGAGACAAGTCTGTCATTAGGAGCACCAAACTGATGTGCATTCTTAGTCCCTGGCACAATTACACTTGTGCCCATCTGTTTGGGTGGCAGGAGGCCTGTGGAGTATGATGCAAGCCAGTTCTGAGGAGGCCCACTTGCCAATGGAAGGGCAGGTTCAGGGGTGCAGCCCACTGAGCACGCCGTGTGCCAACATGCCTGCCAAGAGAACCTTCTGTTTGGCAACTACATCAGGCCAGGGCAGTGTGCTGCTCTGCAGCGGACAACATCTGTGGGTGGAAGCTGGTGGGTAGCATTGCTCTCTGATTAATTCGCCTGCATACCAGGACCCAGTGCTCTTTAGAACAAGTTTGGTGAATAAATACCTCACAAAAGAAGTTCAGCTCACCATGGCGACCCGACTGCTTACTTTTTTTGTTGTATTAAAATACAAACAAAGCAGTCTACAAACAAAATGGTGGGAGAGGCACAAGGGCAAGAGTGTTAGATTGGTGGTCGCCCAGCATCTACAGACACAAATTGGGGAGAGGTGAACGTTTGTGCTTGGCTTTCCCTTTAGTAAGTATGGGACCTCAGCCATGAAATGGTGACACCCACATTCAGGGTGGATTTCCCTTCAGTTAAACATTTTTGGAAACACTCTTGTAGACACACCCAGAGGTATGTTTCCATGGTGACTCTAAATTTTGTCAAGTTGACAGAGATGATTAGCCATCATAGAAACTCATTCTGAAAACTTTCATTGAGTGGCTATTGCTTGGCTCTGTGTTTGATGCTTAAGAATGATGTAGTTGACTTTGACATAGGCTCTGTTTTTATTTATTTATCTATCTCTCATGTATTACATAGTTGCCCTTCCCTCCACCCCCCCATTACCTCCATACCACCTCCCCCTTCCTCTACAGAAAAGAGCAGGCCTCGAAGGGATACCAACTAAACATGGCATATCAAGTTGAAGCCTTAGTTTTAAGAGTTTGTGCTTATAACAGAAATAGACATATGTATACACAGGAGACAAGGACTGTTACAACTCTACAACACATACCCCTACACACATACACACACACACACACACACACACACACACACACACCATGCTTTTGGAGGGAAGGGATATTCTGAAAGGAGGCCAACAGTAGGCAAGAGTACACAGAGGCAGAAACTACATGTTCAAGTGAGAGACAATGACGCTTGTAGTGAATTGAGGGAGTTGAAAAGTTATTTTTCACAGACCAGGATGACTGGAATATCAGGGTGAGCTGTGACTTCAGAAATCTGGTCAAATAAGAACAGAGTTAAGTGCTCGATTCTGGAACCACAGAGACTAGTACTGGTCTTACATGCCAAGAATCACATTTGGGCCTTCATAATTCGTCAGTTGTGGGGAATTTATTGAACCCCTTTGTATGGACTGAGTAATATTTGGCCTCTGTACCGAGGAAGGGAGAGTTTAAAGAAATGTTTGCAATGCAGCCCCTTAGGATAAAAAGAAAAGTTACAGGGTACCTGTGGCATCCTGGGGATTCAGAGGAGGACAGAGAGAAGCTGCCAAAGCCATCCACAGAGCAGATGACAAAGTTCACCCTTGGTCAAACGGTCTTAATAACAGTGCCTAATTGGTAAGTTGAACACAGACATTAAGTGGCTTGGTGTAAGCACACTGCAGAGAACACGCTTGGCTTCCAGAATAGGATCAGGACACGTGACCTTTCTTTTCCTTGTGTTACATTGCAATTAACCCAGAATAGTGATTTAACACATGGCTGGGTCCCTCACCTGGATCTTGGGCTGGGGAGAGGCTCTGCTGGTTTTATTTGCTTCACACTAAGCTCAACTCTGATTCATTCAAGGGTCTCTTCAGTCTGAATCCCAAAGGCTTCTCCATCTTGGACTTGCAATCACAACAGAATACTGGGGTCCAAGCCAAGAAGCATATCTCCACACAGATGTTAGATGCCTCTCATTCCTAATGGGAGGAGCAACTCCCCAAGAGCAGGTGGGGAGGGAAACATTACATATATGATAGAGAAACACAGTCTGCCATACATGTCATGGTGTGTGGTTTGAAAGAAAATGGCTAACAAAGGGAATGGCACTATTAGGAGGTGTGGCCTTGTTGTAGTGGGTGTGGCCTTGTTGAAGTAGGTGTGGCCTTGTTTGAGGAACAAGAGGGTCATGTTCTAGCCTCAGAAAGGAGCAGAACTTGGCAGCTTTGGCCACATGGTTCTAGCTGCATAGTCAAGGATAGAAGAAAGGCATTATGGAACCTTTCTGCATGATGAAGGAAAGCAGCTGAGGTCAGGTGTGTGTCAGGGGTGTCCCTGAAGGGAGGCCCAGAGAGGCCATTGTGTGAAGCTGTAAAGGAGAAGTCTGGAATGCCATGGAGACCGCAAGACGTTGGAAATTCCAGAGTCATGGGATACCTGCTGAGGAAAGCTGCTAGCAGGAAGTGGAGCCAGTCCATGAGAGAGAAGAGTGTTGCAGTCAACAGAGCTGAAAGGAGTTGGAAATCTGGCATCAGACATGGAGATGCAGTCTGTAGTTTTCCCAGCTGGTTTTCAGTCTTGCTTTGATGCAGTATTTCCTCATTATAGTCTCTTCCCGATGATTTGGAATGGTGATGTATATTCTATGCCATTATACGTTGGAAGTGTGTGATCAGTTTTTTTTTATTTTGGTCTTATAAGCAATTAGAATTAAGGATTGGATGGGTGTCAGAAGAGATTTTGAAATTTGGACTTTTAAATATTGTTGACACTGTGATAGACTATGAGGACTTTTGAAGTTGGACTGAAAGAATTTTTTGCGTTATGATATGGATACAAGCCTTTGGGGCCAGAGATAGAATGTGGTGGTTTGAAAGAAAATGGCCCCCAAAGGGAGTGGCACTAATATGAAGTGTGGTCTTGTTGGAGGGAGTGTGTCACTGTGAGGATGGCTTTTAGGCCTCATATATACTCAAGATACTGCCTTCTGTCTCAGATAACTTCTTGTTGCCTGAAAGCCAAGATAGAGGACCCTCGGCTACTTCTCCAGTGCCATGTTTGCCTGCACACCACCGTGTTGCACCATGATAATGGACTGATCCTCTGAAAATGTAAGCCACCCCAATTCAATGTTTTCCTTTGCAAGAGTTGGCTTGCTCAGGTTGTCCCTTCACAGCAAAAGAACACATGTGAAGACACATGGACAGGAGACCACGGGCATAGGATGAAGAAAAGTTTAATTTTAAGTATATTAATTTGAGGCAACAGCAAAAGGCCCAAACAAGTAGAAAAATGCGGAACAGACCAGGTTGTGACATTTTCTTTTTTCTCATTTATTCCCCAAGCGTTATTAAGATATAATAGACAAATAGATATTGCATGTAAGTTTGCAGCACACAATGTGATTTTTGATAGTTATATGCACTGTGAAATAATTAAAACCATGTGCTTGATAAAATAGAAGGGAGTACTCATCCTCATCCTAGCCCTTGCTTCTGATGGAGCTGGCTTCAGACAAAATGGTCTAGAATGAAGAGGATCCAGGACAAGGACCCTACTTCTTCATGGTTCCAGAAGTCTAAAGGTGAGGGGACAGGGGCATAGTTATATAGAAATCACAAAGGGTAATGCCCAAGTAATTTTTTTGTTTTTAAAAAGGGTCTGAAATAGATTGCTTTATTAATATAATATTTCATGTATAGTTAGGTATGGATGAGGAGGAGGAGGTAGAAATATTCCTAATGGTTCAAACATGAACAAGACACAAGTGTTACTAACACAAGGGCATCAAATGGACAGAGAAGAAGTCATTGTTTTGGAGCCCAATTGCAACTTGGGCCTTGTTAGAGAGGTTTTGTGGTCTACAGAATCTTCTGTGACTGTTTCCTGGGTATCTGTTGAGAACTGGCAGGGCTCTGGGAACTATTTTCCCAGTGTGCAGTTACATCGTAGAGGCTGAGAAGGTTCTGAAGACACAGATGAAGAAACCTTACATGGCCAAAAAGTGAACTTTGGAGGCCTCCCTCATGTACACCTGGGAGAAAAGCAGGCTACAAAAAGAAAAAAGGAGAGAGAATAGTATGCTGGGAGCTTTGAAAGGGATATATGCATTTACACTAGTTTTGAATTGGTCAACTGCATTTGGCTTGTATTAAATATTGGTATTTTGATGCTTTAACTTTATGATGGTTTGAGTGATAAATGCCCCCCCATAGTCTTGGGAAGTGGTTCTCAACCTGTGGGTCTTGAACCCTTTGGGGTCGAATGACCCTTTCACAGGGGTTCCTAAGACCATCTATAAACACAGATATTATGGTTATGAAGTAGCAATTCAAATAAGTTTATGGTTGGGACACACCACAGCATGTGTTACAGGGTTGCAGCATTAGGAAGGTTGAGAAGCACTAGTCTAGGGCATTTGAACACTTGGGACTCCTTGGTGACAGTATTTAGGGAGGGTGAGGTGTTGTGACCTTGCTGGAAGGGTAAGTCACAGTGGGCAGGCTCTGAGATTGAAAGCCTGGGGCTACTTGCAGTTTGCTGTTCTTGCTTTGCTTGGTGCTTGTGGTTGAAGATGTGAATGCCCAGCCATGTGCTTCCTGATGTGGTCTCTGTGCTTCCTGCCCTTGCCTTCCCGCCTGTATCTTTCTGGTATACCTCATGCCATGATGGACTCGTTTCCTCTCTGGAACCGTACGCCCACATAAACTCTCTTTTTCTATAAGTTGTCTTGGTTATGGTGCCTTTTTTTTTTAATCAGCAACAGAAAAGTTGCTAACACAGCCCTCCAGAAATTTCACTTTCTAAGTGGCATTCCTTTGTGTATGTGTATGTCTATATGTGTACATCCATGTTCAGTGAAGGGTATAGATGTCATTGGACAGTCAAAAGTAAACGCAGTTTCTCAGACAAATTCATATTTATGGTGATGGTTAGCACTGAACGTTTGAATGGAGATGTGTGTGTGTGGTAGTGACTCTGTATAAGGGCTTTATTCAGGTTGCCTTTGTTCTTCCTTCTTCCGAGGGAAAGATTCACCTGCCCATTGTTTGTCAACCTGACAGTAGCTGCAGCCATCTGGGAAAAGGAACCCCAACTGAGAAACAACCTTAGATAAGCCTATATGCAAGTCTATGTGGAATACTCTTGATTGTCAATTAATGTGGGAGAGCTCAGCCTACTGTGGTCCGTGTTACCCCAGGAAGGTGCTCCTGTATGCTACATGAAAGCCAACTGAGCAAACTAGTAAGCAACACTCCTCCACGGCCTCTGATTCAGTTCCTGCCTCCAGGTTCCTGCTTGGAGTTCCCATCCTGGCTATCCTTGATGGACTGTAAACTACAAGATAAAATAAGCCTTTCCTTTTTGGTTTTGGTCAGTGTTTTATCACAGCAACAGAGGGCAAGTTAAGACAGAAGGCAACTGCGTGGACATGATGGGTCAGAGGGACACAAATATTGCAATTCCAGGGTTGGACACTGTGAGGGTTCATCCCAGACTCTGAGGAGGAGACCAGGTAAGATAACATCTGCATTCTTATCCCCAGAGACAGAGTATGGTTTGCAGAAAAGACCTACACTAACAGCCAGCAGGGCTCACTACATCAGGGTGTCATCTCCTCTGTATGGTTTACGATTCATCTTTGTTTTCATTTCCACATTCAAAGACCTTCTTTGTTCTCTCTAGCCCACCAGCAGAAATCACCTTCCTGGTTCATCTAAACCTCATCTAATTATATTTGCATTATACTTTTTCCTGCTATTTAAAACTATTTGATTGCTTTCATTTTTTCCACACGTTCTGGGAAGTAATTGGTCCCAGAGTGAAGCAATGTCTTCACACTTGTACTAATGGAGGGATATTTTTCATCTCTTTTACATTTTATTTTACAATTTGCCAGTGTTTGTCTTTTACTTGGTTAGTTTTAGTTTGGTTTCTGTTTTGAATTATTTCCCTTGAGTGTGCTTCCTTAAGAGGAAATTTTGACTGCACTGTCAACACAATCCTGTAACCATCAGTAATCCCGGTTACCAAGAGTGGCACTGACCCATTGCATCTGGTGGACACCACCAATGGCATCATGTTATCCCTTAGTTGGTTAATTGAGGCTTAATTTACACATAATCAGGTTCTTCTTTGGTTTCTATGGTCTCTCCTTTATTCTTCTGCTTTTCAAATGTGGTGTTCCTCCACTGTCTGTCACATGACTAAGGCACTTGGGAGCCAGTTCTGCCACATTGGTGCAATGCATCTTTTAGAGACATAGCACGTGAGACATACAGAAGAGATGCCCTGCCTCTGGAGATACTGTTTTTCACTCTGATTTGAAACTTTCCAAGAAACCAATTTCACTCGCCATTCATTGAATGTTTGCTGTGTGTGGAAGACATAAATCGCAGTAGACTTTCAACATTTAATACATATTAATCTTTCAAACAATTACACCACTCATGTCCAGTCTAAGGGATATTCCCGGCATCAGGGCTACATGATATTAATAAATTCCATGACAGGAAGAAATTGCTGGGATTTATTTATAGTGAGCTCTCCCTAGCAAACGACGGAGAATTAACTTGTTGACCATATTCACACTGACAGCACTGGCCACAGCTGGAGTTCTGTGCAGACAGTGGTGTGCTGGTAAATATTTTAATAGCTGGCTTTCTGGGGAAAGGGGACGCCTGTCAATATTGACAACATTTGACCATGGTGTAAATATACCATTCACGACTGTTTTCAGGGTTTCTGCTAGGCTTAGTGGCATGTGTGATAGGGAAGAAATGCACACAAGTGTCCCTCCTGTGCTGGTTGAGCATGCCCATGACACCACTGAGCACAGGCTGAAGTCACAAGCAATGAGGCATCATGAATTTTTCTAGATCTTTCTTTGCATTCACCATGTTTTAAAACAGAAAACAAATTTCCATCATGTTATAGAAACAGAGCCGCAGGGTGGGACTACATCTTCCTTGTGGATTTAGTTTATCACCTGGCATTCTGGTGGAGAAATACGAAGGGATAGAGGACAGTGGACCACATTTTGAGGTCCTTGGCTCTCTAGAAAGAAAGGTGCATACAGGTGTTGACCCTGAAGATTAATGACATCGGTCCCTAAACACACATCTGACACAATGTTGTTTCATTCTGAATATGTTAATGACAGGTAAGCTGCAGACAAATGCAGGATGCTGTGTAACACCTAGAGTGCCCACTGTGGATACCTAATGACAGCCTGAGTTGTAGATGAGCTCTTATGAAGCATCTTCTCTCACATGAGAGGTAAAGCAGGAGGAACGTGTCATTGACACAGGCCAGTCCCGAGCTTGCACACCCTCCCTGAATCTCACATTGATGCAAGAAGCCCATGGAGCTGCCACACCAAGCTGTGAGGGGAAACACACCGTCGCCTCATTGGCTGGTAATCATGGCCCATCCAAAGTAATTATTCTGGGAGAATAGAACTGGTGAGCAGAGTTGATGATGGTGTGGTAAGGAGAAGAAAGTTGCCTTTCCCTTAGGTGTGTGTGTCACACATCACCGTCAATACTCCGCTTGCAATTGGCCAGGATCTGAAGAGCTGCTACATACCGGAAGGCAGGGAAACTAACTGTCTTTGCAGAAGTAATTACTGGTAACAGACATTACTTTTTTCTAAGGGCGTGCTTATCCCTCCAACTATGACAGCACTGTGCATAAATACCAATGCCCCTTCCTCCCTTCTGCTGCACAGAACTTGGTACTGCTAGTATTGAGTCGGTGGAGAATTTTGTTTTGCCCTTTTTTTTTTTTTATTGACAGCTGGGATAGAACCTTAAGCCATTTTGCACTTATGGATTCCTTAAGCTCGGTTTCTCATGTTTCAATGTGTAAGAATGCCTGCCTCATTTTGAGATTGCCAGGGATGTTATGAGAGCAATTCTGAGGCGTTTTGCCATGTCGGCGGAAGTTTCGCATTCCATAGTTTGTCTGCAGGAAGAAGAGAAATGCACCAGGCTTTCATTCACTTAGGAAATGCACTCATCTTTGCAGAAGGCTGAGTCCTGTCTGCGGGCACCTCATTGTTTTCTAAAGCAGTGTGGTATTATATTGCTTGGGCTTTGTATGAATTGTCACAGTTTGCCTTTTTACATGACAATTCAAGTGTCAGACCTGGCATGTTCAGGCAGAGTTTTCCTTCTAGCTCCCTCCCCTGGGCTCATCCCTTTACCACAGATGTTGCATCAGCTGTGAGCTGCCATCATTGCTTCTTGGATTTCTGTAGCAGAGTCTTTTCTCCTAGCTGCTGCCCAGCCTGGGCTTCATCGCAGCGACACCAACACAGACCTCTCTCACGATGACCACATAATGATCGTGAGTCAAGACTTAGTTTTCAAGAGCAGGGTCTTCTATAGGGCTGCAGCAAGAAGCACTCTAGCCTGGACTTGCTTGCCTGGTCTCTCAAAGTCTGAAGTCTGAGCTTCCAACCTCCCGGCAATGGGTGTTTAGGATTCTAGTTTAAACGTCCCACTGATGTTTAAACATGCCACAGAGCAAACACTGTCAGCCAGTGTTCCAAGTGTGAATCATTTCCAGCTCTGAAAATGA